GGCCATTCTGTGATTCTCTGATTCTATGAAATAATGGTCAGGTGGTGCAGTAGGGTAGCCTGCTCAATAAACTGACAAAAGACAAAAGAAACATCAAGAATAGCTATCCATCCTGAGCAACTTGAGTGTTGTGCATGCCCAGATCATCCTTTAACAACTTCTAGCAAATGTCTAGAAGTGGAAATGTAATTATTTTCCAGAAGGAAGGACAATTTAAAAAATGCTGAGACCTAACCTCAGCTGATCAGGTTATATTAAATTTCAAATTCAACAATATAAAATGTGTCTTCTACATGTGTAGATCAGGCACAGTGATACCTAATAAAAGCAAAGGATTGCTACAGATATTATCTTTACAAGACATTCTCTATTAGGAAAGAAATTCTTATCCCTCAGAGCAAAATGGGCATGTGTATTATACTTTGAAAAGTGATATGAGAAACTAGCTGAAGGCTTATTCACCAGTTCTGAGGTGAATATACCCTCATAAAACACCTCATATTAGAAAATTGTTAACTATTATATTTTAACTTAAAATTATGATTCAACACGATTTGTATTTATGTGAAGAGTGTTCTGATTTAGCACATTATCTGTTGATTTTTGCAAGAGTGGCCCAAGGACTAGCCACAATCAGGTAACATATTTTAAACTATGTGGTTTTGTTAATGGCAATGCAATGCAGTTTTACATCATGTGAAAATGTGCTAATTACCATGTTTTCTAACTGATATTTCAGTGAAGATGCATCTTAAATATGTGTAGAAGCATGTTTAAGCAGATAGAGGTTCAAATTTATTTTACAGTCAAAGGTCAGTAACGAGAATGTCAGATTCGGTACATGTGAAACATCAGGATGCTGAACAAGACTTAAATAATTATTTTAATGGGAATGTAAAGTAAATCTACTTTGTTGCTTTATTCCCCTGAAAAATTAAGTGTATGTTTTCATTATAGAAGTTGGAATTTAACAAACAACTCTGATAATGTAGTAGTAGAAGGTGTTTCATACAGATTAGTCCGTAGGGAA